GGGGTGGGTACGGGCGTCCGTCTGTTTTTTGCTTGCTCGGTCCTGTACGCGACAGAGCTGGGTGGGGCACGGCATGGCTAGGAAAGGGGAATGGGGGCAGGGGTCAACTTTTGATCACCTAGTCGAAATCCCTTTGGCGACAGGACACCGTTCCTAGCCCCACCCCAACCCTTCAGCAATCTCGTTATTTCTGCCGCATGTCTTGACGTGACCAAGTGCTTGCTATCTACTGCGGCGTGTTTTTTTTGTCGTGGCGTGTCGTGTCTTGTCCGGGCGTGGTCAAGACCTGGTGAGCTCTGGTCTCGGATCTCCGGAGGTCCTTCCTTCGGTGCTGGAGCAGGCCACGGTGGACGTGAGCTCCCTCCAAGAGGCCGACGACAACTTCCTGCTTCAGCCCACCCCGCAGGGCTTGAAAAGCTACTGCATCATCCAGAGGACAAGGTCGGTAATATTTTTTTTCCTTCCGTACACTACTCGTACACCGCTAGAAATACCGCTGGTACAGCGCATGTACCAGACAGCAGTGCTGGCTCGAGCGGCTAGTAGTCTCAAGACACCACCGACGCTGAAATCCCGTTACCTTTCCACCCCCACCCCCTAGTGCTGGCCTCGAGGCAACCATCTCTAAACTCCGCCTAGACGTGGAGTGGTCGAACGACCCCGCGAAAACAGCCACCGCCTGTTTCGGGTTTCCATCTCGAACGGAAAAGACCAGAACCCCCCCCCCTGTTTGCAACCCATCCAAGTGCAAAACCCGCCCACGTGCCATTCGTCGTCGAGCCATTACAGCGAATCCCGCTAAACAGAACCCTTTTAAGTTTCGTTTGTTCTCTGGTACGGAGGCGACCCCTCCCCCCGCCCCGAAACGCCACTTTTGCTACATCGTAGAGCTGCTACTGTGTTCAAGACTCTTGGTTTCGCTATAATTGAATGCGCCTGGCGATTTTCTTACGGTTCCCCACCCCCGGCTTGTCACCGCCGTGCTTTTGCGTTCGCGACCTGTACATCCGAGGACAGGTCTACGATTCGGACGTACTTCAGGCTATTTCTCCAGGAGCAGCGGCCTCTGGCGGAGGATGGCAGTGGCGGCGACGGCGGCGATGACTCCGCCTCCCCGACGACGACGAGCGGCCCCGCGACTGGCGTTCCCGGCGGGCATGGGGGTACCCCCCCCACCACCAGCAACTCTACAGGGCTTGACGGCGGAAGCGGAGGCGGCGCGTTCAGTGCTACAGGCGGTAGCGCAAGCGGGGGAGTTACGCACAGCGGCGGAGGAATGGAAACCCTTAGGGCCTTCCTTGCAGTCGGTGGCGGCGGCGGCGGCGGCGGCGGAGGCGGCGGCGGGGCGGGGGGGGACGGGGCCGTGGGAGGGGCGCAATTTCTCCTCTCGAGCAAGCGATACAGGTCAACCAAGCCCCGGTCGGCGAGCTACGTGTGGAGTAGGAACGGAGTGTGGAAGGTGTGTGTTTTTGCGTTTCTTGGAATTGGCATCGGCCGACCGCGCTAACCGGCTGACCAAATGAAAAGGCGCCAGTAGTGTTGCGGAGAAAGAATCTTGAAAATGGCGTGTTTATGTGTTTGTGTTCTGTTCACTTGGCCGCGTGGGACAGAAGTCCAACAGTCATACCGTGTATCCACCTCTCTCTCTGGACGGACCTCCGTTGCATCCGTGGATGGACGTTCTCTGTGTGTTTGTTCTTTGGGCTGTTCGTCGAGTAGCTCGGCAGATGAGAGTGCCGGGATCTGGGTACCTGCGTGGCGGCCTGTTGTCCTCTCTCGTTTCACCTGTAAACCACCCATGTACGGCCTGTCGTGCTAGTTGTCTCCCGCAATGCAAAGGCCCTGTGCCCCCCCCACCCCCCCGCCCTTCCGGTTGCCTCCCCGACCCTGCTCCCTCCGTCCATTGCATCACAGCGCGACTTGATTGAACAACATTTTTCTCAACTCTCTACCCCCACCCCACCCCCCCCACCCCCCTTGCCCCCAGGATAAGCACGCCTTGGCCAAGGTGGCCACTCAGCCATGGGGCGGCAAGGGCAAGGGCGAGGGTACAATGACCTCCCCGTCCCTCGTCGGCGACCACCTGCGAGCTGCTACCGCCGCCGCGGCCGCCGCCGCTTCGCCCGTGAGCCCTGTCCCCTTTTCCGCCGTCCCCGCTCCCGCAACCGCGTTCCCTGCGTCCGCCGATGGCGAGCGGCGGCGGCGGCGGCGGTACCGGTATCTCAGGGTCCCCGGGGGACGTGGGGTCGGACGGCAGCAAGGCTCAAAGCCCGGCGTTGTCTGGTTCGAGCGGCGGGGTCGGTGGGGGGGCGGCGGGGGGGGGGGGCAGAGGAGGCGCAAGTAGGGAGGGGAGCGGGTGTACGGAGGCCTGAAGGGGTCGGCGGCAGCCCGGCGTGGTGAGTCGAGTGTCTGCACTATTGGTGTGATGTGCTAGTACAGTATTGTAATGTTCGTTGTGTCAAGTGCCATATGTCCTGCATTTCATTCAAATTATTGGTGCCACGTATTATGACCAAGGTGATGCCGGGCGTTGTGTGGTGGTTGTTTGGGGGGTATACAGGGTGGTTGGTGTGAGAGATTCTGCAAGAAAGGGTTTTTGATGGTGGGAACGGGAAGATGGTCTCTTGGTGTTCCTCTTCCCGAGGATGTGCGATGTTTACGTTCAGCGAATGATTTCTGTTTCGTACAGAAGCCCCTTTTCTCCCTCCTGTGCCTGCACCTGCAAAGCATGCTATTACTCATTTTATAATTTTTATAATTTTTCAGCTGTAGTTGTAGTAGAGATTTGAACGCAGCTGCCACTGAACAATCACAGGCAGCAGTTTACAGCGACCCTCCTCCTCTCGTTCCGTTCACCGTCAGCCTAGAGCTCTCGACCTCTCTCCTAGAGGTCACGGCATTCGTCCCCTGCCCCAAACACCGCCTCCCCCCCCCCTCCCCCCCCCGGCCTGCGCGAACGTGGCGTTCTTTGGTGGCTGGGTTGGTTCAGCTGGGCGGTGGTGGTGAATGTACAGGCTGAGGGAGAGGGAAAGCTTTTGTCCGTCGCGGCTATCGTGCCGGACCCAAGCGCGTCGCTATCGGCGCCGGGAAGTGCGAGCAGCGGCGGCGGCGGTGGCGGCGGTGAACAAATGGTTGACTCGGGATTATTGGCGGAGGGATTGAGGTGCGGACAAATAGAGAAATAGAGCTAGATAAGAGAGGCACTGCCGCACATGGGGGTCATCAGTCCAACGTACATGCTTGCGGAGGCGGCGGGTGTTTGTGTTTGGTTTGCTTTTGACAAGCGTGTCGCGGGCGGACGGTATTCCCGGCAATCGTGATGTGATGCGGTGGGCTCTTCATTCCGTAGCAGACGTCATGTCGGTTTGCGTACGTGCCCGGGTGGCGTGGCGAACGAAATGTTTCAAAGGATTTGGGCGGAGCCGACATTTGTCACACCCGAATTGTCTTCTTTTCTAACGTGGTGTTTCCAGGAAATGGGAGAAAACCGGAGTCGTCCCGCCGGGGATGATCGTCCTAAGGTCCAAGCAGCCCAAGTGGTCCGCGTGGCAGGGTTGCCACACCCTCGACTTCGACAGAGGAGGGGAGAGGTAAGGTATGGGAGGGGGAGACTTAACGCTCGTAGTACTGGAAGCCCAGATGGGGGCACTTTGGCGACACAGCACTCAAATGCCTGTTTACCGCACCATGGTCGTCACTATGTGTTATGCTCCGCTGCGTGACACGTGCGTGGGAAACCTTGGTCTAGCATGCCTGTGTGAGGTGGTACGCTGTGTGATATGCTGCTATGCGATGCCTGTGTGCCTCTCCTGGGCCTCTGATTTGCTGCACACAATCTCCCAAGCCGCGGGTCCCCTTGTTGGTAAAACTGTACATCGCCTAGCACTGGGAAAAAATGCTGACGTGGCTTTAGTAAAGAAAGTGTTGCCATTGCATTTGGGGACACTTTCCATGCTCAAGCCAAGTCAGCCTTTGCTGAGCCAAAGTCAGCCTTTGGCCCTCGGGACTGTACAGCCTCTGCCAATAAGCGGACGCGATTTTTTTTTGACCCATAGCGTGTAACTAACTGGGTTACAGGAGGGTTAGGATAGAGGCGGGGAGAGGTAAGACAGAGGCTGGGAGAGGAAAGATCAGGGTGCGGCAGCTCAAAACGGACCTAAACCTTACTGACTACTGGCAGCTTGGCAGTCCCCCGGGGTAGATAACCAGCCGAATTTCTCATCCGGTTTAGTTAGACCAGCTCTTGTTCTCAGGTGTGCGGGGTATTGTCGTTATTGGTTTTTTTGCCAGTCTGCGATCTCGGTTCAGTCATGCTCTTGAAGCATGAAGAAGATTGCGCTACGTAGAATGGTAAAGCAGAAGACTCACATTTTTTACGAAAGGCTTGGGACAAGGCAGGAGTGGCGTCGGTCTGATCTGGCTCTTTTTTTCTCTCGCTCGGGGAGAAGTGGTCAAGACCATCACGTCTGTGGAACCAAGCTGTCAAGGCTGTATCCAAGACACTCAGCCTGTCACGAGTACCTTCCACACACAAATTGTTAAGGCGGTGTCGGGACTGTCGAGTGTCAAGAGTGCCACGGGTGGTTGTCCCAAACTGTCAAGGCTGTGTCGAAGCTGTCAAGTGTGTGTCCTGAGGGAGAGCAAGATGAACACAAACACACACACACACACTTCGCCCACCCCTGCTTCGAGAGCATGAACGCGCGTAGCGAAAGCGTTCGTTTTTCTTCTTGACCTTAAGGACAATACATCAACCCTCCCCCGCGCGTATGCCGCCCGGATAACGCAACCCACAATAGGGTTCGAGAACCTTCTCGCAAGAACGTGAGCATGATTGCCGCGGACGCAAGTCCCGCCGCCGCCGCCGCCGCCGCGGGTGGCGGAGGGAAGCAGGGGAAGAGCGCGGCATCAGTAGCAGGACGAGGCAACAGGGCGGGGGGCGGTACCAATAGCGAAGCGCAGCAGACGGGGGGGGGCGACAAAGACCACACGGATGGACACCACCATCGACCATCGATAACGGCAGCGTCCAGGCCGACCCTGCAAGTGGGGAAGGTGCGGCGGAACAAGCTCTCTTGGGGGGGAGGTGGTTGGAACGGATTGTGTACTGTGTTTTGTGTGTGTGTTCTGTTTCGTTTTTTTGCGTAACCCAGTACGTTTGTTTTCGATTGCATAGACGACCGCTCGAAACCGCAGCCTGTTTTGGGGCACCTTCGCTCGACGTTGAGGGGCGTGAGCAGAGGGAATTTAAGGGGGGCGGGCGGAGGAGAACACGATTTGTGGGTACGCTGCTTTTTGATCGTGTGCGGTGCCTGTTTCGGTGGTCCTGAGTTGTTTAAGTGTTTCGTCGTGCCGCCTTGTTTTCGAGCGTTTCCGTCGTCGCCATGTGTCAGGGATTCAGAAATGATGCCCCCCCCTCCTTTGTTCCTCTTCCGGTATCTCCCGAGCGTGGGCTTCATTATTTTGTCCCATTTTCGATTGGTGATTTTTTGCTTCCGTCGGGGTTTTCGTGGTAAACCGGGACACAAGGAGCACCACCACAGACAGCCGCCTCCCACGTGTAGTGTCGTTCGATTTTTCGTTCATTTCGGCGATCATGGCTACTCACGTTGTCCTTCCCACTCTTCCTTTTCGCCCCTTTTAAGCTGCCCCCGCCCCCGCCTCCGCCCCTTGCTGTCTGCTGTCTGCTGTCTGCTGTTTGTTGCCGTTTTCTTCCGTATGCGTCTCTTTTCTTTCTCCCGCTGCTTGTGTCTTGGATGACTGTTCGTCCCTTCTCTTCTTGTTCTTCCGTGTATGCGTCTCTTTTCTTTCTCCCGCTGCTTGTGTCTTGGATGACTGTTCGTCCCTTCTCTTCTTTTGTTCTTCTCGTTCTTCTCGTTCTTCTTTTTCTTCTTGTTCTTCTTGTTCTTTTATGTTCTTCCTTTTTGTCTCCTCTTGCATCGGTCTTCCGGCCGGTGCTGCCGCTGTTCTGCAATCCCTCGGTTGTCACCATCTCCGACGGTGCTGCTGGTTGGTTATTGTGCAGATCTCCGAAGACCACTTTAGTCTAGACTTTTGCTGGCCGCTGTCTCCCCTGCAGGCCTTCGTAGCCGCCATGAGCATTTTTGACGGGTGAAGTAGGGCGAAACTTAGAAAACAGTGTACTAGTAATTAAATAGGAGTAGCTCTATATTTCTATTTGTGGCAAGCGAGGCACCGATACCATGTGTTCTTTCGTCCCTCTGCTACGCTTGCCTCTTGTCGATAGTTATAATAATGTCTCTCGAGATCCCTACGGTTGTAATCGAACCTGGCAGCACACCGCCGGGCAACGGTTCGCCGAAATCGGACCTCGACATGCATTTATCCTCCTGGCGGTGTGTTGCGCATTTTTTATGTAGACTATTAATGCGTGCTTGATTTTTTTAGCACAGGCACGCTGCACATCAAGCTCTTGCACCTACCGCCCGTGGATAGAGAAATATAGTCAATGTTGTGGGAAATAATACAGCGGCTCCTCCTCTTAGCATGCCATGCATGTTCTCACGCGGGCACGCGCATCGATCGTGCTCAGACAGGAAAATAATAATACTATTTTGCTTGCGGCTCTTGCGCTTCCTATACTGTAGTGCTAGTGGGTGCCCCTTGGGGACCTGAATGGCCATCGATCATCGCGCCAGTATTGTAGCACACTTACATGCATAAATACACGTTGAAATCCTGCAGCGAGCGGCAGAACTCGAAAGTATTTACTGCCGTAGAGTGTTTGGAAACCTTCGTTTCGCCGGAAGGTAATAGCGCCCTTCTTCACAACAACCACTGCCGCCAGTATTGGAAGCATACAGATACGAAACCACGCCAATGCTGTTGCTGTTTTCACATTAAAACCCGTTCAGGTAACTGCGCGCAGTACCTTGCAACATTCCTACCGGCCCAACTGACGCGGACCCCTCCTCCCTTCCCAGAAAAGTACTGTAACCACATGTAAGGATGAGAAGAAAATAAACAACGCCAAAGAGAAAGAAAGAGGTCATGTCACGATGCACAAACTCTTAGCATTCATTCGCCTCCCTCGAAGAGGGGAAAGCATGCGTACGAACAAGAAGAACACAGTTTAACATAACTACACAGCAAAAAAAAAATCAATTCGGTCTCTCGCATGAACGGGCATTTACGGCAGCGCGACAAGTAAGTGTGTTCCGCGCGCTTGCACGGCTTACAGACGTCCACCACGCAGAGCGAATCAAGCCACATGGACGCACACCCACCACACGTTCCAAGAAACCAAAAACACTCAAAAACATCTAGTCTAATACGACTCATTCTTCTGCTGCTTCTTCTTCTGTGGCCGGCTCGCTGTATTTGTACAGGCATGCCGTGCGACAAGCACGCCGTCTTACCACAACCCCGAAGCGGTACCCATCAGTACTCGAAGCAAACAACGAAAACGACATTTAGAGCCGCGGTGGTTTGCACCCATCGTAACTTGTACTTGACCGCAATATTGCAACGATTACCTATCGCACAGAGAGGGTATTGCCGTCCTGGTGCAGGGATCCAAAGGCAACACTCACATGAATGCACGCTCACACCAACCCCCCCGACTAAAAACGACGAATGAGTCTGTAGCGCGGGGCGCCTATCATGGCCGGTGGCATACATATTCGCACTACACACCGCAAGCACACGAACGAGCTGCTGAGAGGACGAAATGACCCAACCCAGCTACTCCTCTCGGCTGCGTGCCGCAGTACAGCAGCAGCAGCAGCAGCAGCAGTAGTAGTACGGGGTGTTTCCTCGTCGCTATCACTAAACCCAGCCTGGACGGAGCACCACTTGCACAAAGCCAAAGCTGCAACACGAGACACTCAAGACACGACCAAGTCGACACCGTACCGTAATCTCTAACCCGGCGCAAGGCCTCTGTTGTCACCCAACAAGTTGCCGCCACGACACGAGAAAATTAAACACACACGCACACACAAAAAAAAAAACACAGGCAGTCCCCAAGTATTAGTGCGAGGTGGAGCACCGTTGCATTTTATACAATAGGAAAAGAGGCGATCTCGCCTTGGCGTTTGGCCGAAAAGCGACGACCACGTCACCATCGCGACACATGTATATCACCACCATCAGTGACCCCTGCGCACGTGTATACCATACGCCGTCACCCCCTGGCTTATCTATTGCCGTACATTGTAACCACCGGAATGGAAACATAGGCCTGCCCCCCGTCCCCCCGCGGGTCACGGAGGCCTCCCGCTACCCTCCCCCCCCCCAGGGCCAGACGCGCGCCCCCCACCCTGTATGCCTTCGTCCATCGAACCTAACCCCGAGGGGGCTACGGCTGCGCCTGCTGCTGCACCCGAAACCGCAGCGTGGACGACGGCACAACACTGTCCTGTCTTCCTTCCTTCTCCAACAACGACGACGCTGTTGTATCTCCCCACCCGGCTTTCCCGTATGATTGATGCTGTTCTTGGCATAAACTTCGTTGTCCAGGTCGCATCCGCGCTCCTTGGACGACGATGGGATGGCGGGACGCGGCGGCCTCGTCCATCGCCGTGCGTGGCTTGATTTTCACTGCACTCGCGCGTGAAGGAATATCCGGGCAGGGGAGGGAAGAGCAGGGTCGATTGATTCATCACGCTCAGAGAGAAAAAATAAAGTCGTCTCTTCCGTTCGTGCCGTCGGAATTTCTGCTTGCAACAAAATACCTCCAGGAAGCACCGCATCTCAGGAACTACTGTACGTCATCTTGTAGTTATTAATAGTTAGTTTTCCCGGTGCTGTCGAGGATGTCCCTAGCTTAGCGTCCTTAAAGCGCGGATAACTTCTACCCGCGTATGTACATACCCACAACCCTTTGCTTGGATAGGCTAAATAGCTTACCCCCATCGCCTTCTGCAGCTGCTGGTGTACGGCGATACCGTCGAACATCATTTCCAGCTCGTCAAGCTTACCCCCCTCCACGAAGGCCGCCCGAAGCATCCCGTTCTTCTCCACCTCTAGGGGCGACCCGAAATCGCTGAACGCGGGGGGGGGGGGGGGGGGGGGGCCCCCCCCTTTCGGGGAATTTTTCCTCTACCTGGCGAAAAGAAGGGGGGGGGGGGGGGGGGGGGGGGGGCCCCCCCCCCCTTCCCCCCCTTTTTGGGGGCAAAAAAAAAAGGGGGGGACAAAAATTTTTTTTCCCCCCCCCCCCTTTAAAAAAAAAACGGGAAAGC